GACGACTGTCTCCCTCGATACATCGATCTCTAAACCATCCACTACAAAGCGGCTCCAGCTCCTGGTTTGAACGCTTTTCCAAGGGGGGAAGATTGCGGGCAAGACTCACCTTCCTATATGCCTTCTTGATCCCACCCTCTTCCACGGTCTTCTCAACCCCAAGAACGGCATAAAAGTCACCCCCGGCCTTCTTTACCTTTTTAACCACTTCTACCTGGGCGGCAGTGTACTCCCTCTTCTTTTCCTCCGGTGGATCCCTCTTGGCACTTCCGTTGGAGTGCACGGAAGCGGAAGCTGTTGCCCTGGACCTCAGTCCTTCACTTGAAGAAGAAGAAGAAGGTTGGGCACCACTGGCGGCAGTGCTGCTGCCGGTGGCTCCATTCTTTTCTAGTCTCACGAGGAGGGCCTGAGCTGCGGGAGTGGAATGGATCGAGATGGATTTCTTGGCCCACTTGATGGCTGCGACCGTGTCGCCGTTAGCATCGTGTTTCAGCGCGAGCGAGAGCGCCTTCTGAGCTTCTTCGCTTTCCATATTTCTCCAGGCAAATGCTTCCTTTCTTTCCTTTCCTTTCCTTTTCTTTGTAGACTGGTTCGACCAAGAGCACAGAGAGGAATCGAGGCGCCCTTCCTTTACCTATTGCCGTTCCTTTCTTGACCCGTGATGAGGGCGGTTCTCAGTCAGAGTGGATCTTTTTGCCTTCTCTTTCGGAAAGTGTGATCGGTGCCTGGTCGCCTGAGGCTAGCAAGGTATGACTGATGCAAGATCGGACCCGAAAGCGAGTGTCCTTTGAAAGGGGGAGGTAGATGGAAAAGGCTGGAGTGAGAGGAGGGGTGATGAAAGAGGGGAGGGGAAAGAGCGAGTTCAGAAGTAGATTCCTCGGACCGTGAAATTGCTGTTGGAGACGAGCTTGTCCTTTCCAAGAGTTACACCACGTATGTGTATCAACTCAATTCCAAGAAGCCTCAAGCTAGCTCCATCCTTTTGGTTTCTTTTGCAAGGAGGCTTTGGATTTCTATCACACACACTCCCCTCAGTCAAACCACTCCCAATTGGGAAAATGTGTAATCTTGGAGAAATCTCCAAGTCTTGATAAGACCCTCTTTTCACTTTAATCTATTCTCAATTTCCTTTTACAGACCTCTTTGCGCTCCCCCGAGTCGCGTGTGGGCCCAAAGCTACAGACAGCTGATTGCGCTTGTTTCTCCCCTCCCTGCTCATAAATCACATGCATCCTCTCTGTCCCGTCAGCTCGGCCATTCTTCCCCCCCGCCTCCATCCTAAAATCGAATGCCACGTCCGCAAGTTGGATCCTCTGTCACTTCTCACATAAGCATGACCAATCGAAACTCCTTCGGCATCCCATTTTGCTCCCCACCAAGATCATCCCACTTGGTCCAAACCTCAACACCATGTGTCTTCTTCTTCGTGCATCAACTTCGAACCCTCCCAAGTCTTCGACACGCAGTCCCAATCACGACCTTTCCAACAAGTGAGTTACTCTTCATGCTTTCTCCACACAGGTGGGCGAGTAGAGTACCGAATCGCAAGGCGACTCTCAATCTAAAGGTTGAACAATGTATCTTTGTATTTACTGAGCGAGGACTCCCAAGTGGATCCAGTACGTCATAGAGGTAAAATTGTGTGTCAACGACAAAAGGGGTGGTATAGTGTCAAATTGTTCGTGAACATGAAGATCAAGTGGGTGACGATGGGATCTTGGATGAGGAGAATGTCAAGCGATGAGTGCATAGCTCCGACATGGCTACCGAGGATAGCGCAGCGACAAAAGTCTAAACCCTAACAAAAGAAACCGAGAACCTCACCCTGAAGAAGGGGAGGTAGGCCCGAAACTCCTTTCCCCACCAACCCTTAGAGCATGACGGCGCCAGCGATCGCTCCTCCTACGACGGCAGAGAGCGCAGTCCAGATTGCACCTGAGTTGACGTTCATGTTCATAGCAGCGTTTGAGTTACCTGATGCCGCCGCGGTGGCTGAAGTAAGGGCAGAGGAAGCGTCGCTGATAATCGAAGCCCCGTCCCTGGTGGCTGTGGAAACGGCTCCGCCGGCAGCACTGGTTACTGTGGAGAAGGCTCCACCGGCAGCACTGGTAACTGAGGACAAGACCCCGTCGCCGACGCTTGTGAAGGTCGAGAAGGCTCCAGCGGCATCACTGGTCACCGTCGAAAAGGCTCCCCCGGCCAGACTGGTCACTGACGTGAAGGCTCCACCTGCTACTGATGTGAAGTCAGAAAAGGCCGAACCGGCTCCCGAAGTGATGTCACCCCCGATGCTGCTCAGGTCCCCAACGATGGAGCTGAAGTTGACTGATATAAGTTCAAAAGGGATCGGTTCAAGTTGATATGGGTCAGCTCCTTTCCAGCCTCTGGAAACGATGAACGGTAGAAGAACTTTCGCACAGGAGCAGAAAAAAAGGAAAAGGGGGGGGGGGGGGGGAAGCTGACGAAGGTTCCAAGATCTTTCTTCCTGAAAGTTTCACTCACTCTGAGCAGAAGCTTGCTGGCAAACCGCAGCAATCAAGAGAGTTTGGGCGAAGATGATGGCGTTGGTGAACTTCATTTTTGCTGGAGGGTCGCGAAGATCCACTGATTTGAGCGGTGGAATGGCGTGTGGGATAAATTGCTTGCGTTCAAAGGGTAGGAAAGATGGCAGATGGCTGTGAGCGTTGATGCTGAGAAGGAATGCCTGGGATGACTGATTGAGCATTAAGGACGAAGTTGTGCGAGAGGCAGCCACGTCTTATATTATGTTTCAAGGGCTCGCAACTGCGCAACCTCCCCGCCCACCCCGAAGCATGTCCCGAATCACCGTCTGCCATCCAGCGGGTGGGGCTCTGGCACAGCCAAAACGTCTCCTCCTCACCGAGCCGGGAAGCGAAGAGGCAAACGGATAGTATGGTATGGTCGCGGTTGTCAGTCCGAGTGTGGGTTGTGAGACATGCGTCACATCTCGGATTGGATTGCAGTTTCCTACGCATATGCAGGAGCCTTCTGAGGGGTTCGAAATCTAGGAATCTTTGATTCACGAAATGCTTGCTCCCCTGGAGCCATTACATGCAGTACGTAGCGACTGTCTCCGGCATCGTACACGACCCCGGATACATAACGTCACTGGTGGAGAGGGCAAGGTTCGATTCGGCTTCGAGAAGGCCCTTCACCGCCTCTCTGATTCGCCGTGAGTCGCACTCGCGATTACCAGACCCGAGACTTGACTTTGGATGGACGATTGAGAGCTAATCAACTCACGGCGAATCGAGGATCACGGAATCTTTACCACGTCGAAAGTAGAGTCGAGTACCTGACAAGTCTCGTTGTACGATCAGAGTCGAGGGAGCGGCCAGCCGCAAGCATATCCCATTCACAACTGGGTGAGAGAGGATTTCGATTCACAGTAGGTTACAGAATTGAACGAGTGAGTGGCCTCAGGCGAATGAAGCAATGAGTCGAATGCGAGGTGGGAAAGCCCAGTTTTGCCTCGAAAAAAGTCGTAATCTGAGCTCTCTAGCTTGGACCTTGCCGCCTCTTGGTTTTCTTTGACCACAGCCACTTTGGGACTGGCTCTTTGTTAGGATTGGCCGAAGGCTGAAGAGAGAGCATCGTTTCTAATCCTAGATCCACAGACTGAAGGCAGTCACAATCAGAATCTGAGCCAAAAAAGTACCTTCGAATCGGTTCATAGCAAAGCCCATCATCCTGCCCATTTTGTCATGGTTCCTCTCTTTCTCCACCTTTTTCCCCTTTCTTTTGTTTCGTTTCTTTTCTTTTCTTTTTTTCTTTATTTCGGCTTTAGAAAAGAAATCGAATCGATCATCCCTCGATCTGCGCTTTTGAGGCAGTGTTGTCACCGTTGTCACCTCCACACACACCGTTTGTAAACCGATCTGGACCTTATTAAGATGTCGTCACCGCCACATTCTGGGATTCCTTTTCAAATCCACCCTGCCCCCCCCCCCCCCCCCCCCCCCCCCCCCAGCCACCGGGACGTGAACCGAATCGAAATCGTTACTTGTTACACCATGGTGGCGTGAGACGATCGCACACTCACCTGTGACTGTGAATTTGATTTCTCTCTCTGCCCAGCATGAAAAGTTGATTCTCGAAGTTTTTTTGAAAGTTGGGGTGCTTCGCGCATGCTCTCAGTCACGGTTCCGAATAGTCAAAGCTCCTTGATCTGGCACTGTATGCATGTTCATTTGCGTGCTCTGACGGAGGGATTCATGGCAAGCATCGGTTGTTGGTTTTTGCTTTCTTATCCCAGCTAATCGATTGGGCCGGCTTGGTCTCACGTCGAAAGGGAAAGAAAGGAGAGCCGAACACGCATACGGCATGCTTTCTTCCCTGTTAAACCATGATCCCAAACTGATTAGATGCCGCGCATGACCTCCCTGACAGAAATGATTAGGGGACGTGATCGAACCATGCAAACCCTTAACCAAAAGTATATATGCTCTAAATCCAGCCAAAATCACGTGACAGCGTCTTTAGCTCAGTGGTAGAGTATACGGTTGCAATTCGATCTGCACAAAGAGTTGAATCCCGTCTGGTCCCTGGTTCAATCCCGGGAAGGCGCTTTTTTGATCCAAATTCATTCCCTTTTGGAATCCTTATTTTTAGATTTTTCATTTTTTTTTTTTTTTTGAACACCACCACCAACCTCGTTCGGTGTTATCTCAGTAGGAGGTTAAAAAAAGAAAGACAATAACACCTGGACTATCTTTGGTTGTGCCCTTGTCGCGGCACACTCGTTCAGATTTTTCCCCTCTCCTAGAAGCGCGGAAAAGAAAGAGTGGGGACATATTTTTTTTTAAAACACATTCGTCTGAAACAGACTTATTACACGTACTGTGCGTACGCTCCGCAGGTGAGGGTGAAGGTTTAGGGGGAAGGCGGTGATCATCTAGGGGGTGATGCGCGCGCACCAAGTAGAGGTTTTTTGGCGCCAGTTTTTACTTCCAAAAAAAAGTATTCGAAGCGAAAAAGCGAGCGCCTTCCCGGGATTGAACCAGGGACCAGACGGGAATCAGTTCTGAATGTCTTCGGGACAACCGAATTGCAACCGTATACTCTACCACTGAGCTAAAGACGCTATTGTGCCCCATGAGAAGTTGTTTGTCAGTTACCATACATCCGGACATCGTAAAATTAGTCGATATTATACGCTCGATTTCAACCACCCAAAGAAAGGTACCGAAGGGTGGATCAAACAAGAGTTCCGCACAACACCATGCTCCGCCACATGTTCCGTGCAAGAAGGAAAGCAGTCTAGGCACGGGGAAGATTCAAGGGGAGGAGAGGGAAAAAAATGGCAAGATCTTCGATGACTGGGTGGCTGGATTCGATGCATCTTAAAATTTTCAAAGTTCTCATGTGTTGGTTGTGATTAGCGGAGCTTAGAAAGATCAGAAGCAAGGGGTTTCAAGGAAGGAAGGGCAAGGTGGGAGATCCGGTTTCGGAAAACCCAATGATGGAAGTTTTGCATGGATCCGGAGATGGACCCATCATGTCAGTCTAAATGCTGGAAGAGGGGGGCTTTGAACAGGTCGAAGAGCTGGTTTTGTGGGCTTTGGGATGGGTGGAAGGATGGGCAGGATGGGATAGCCTGGCATTTGGGGAAGAAATGAATGCCAAGGCTGGATTATCCGAGCCCTATTTCCTTCTTCCGCTTCCACTGGTGTTGAAGCCCCTCCTTCCTTCCCCTTTTCCTTTCGTCCTTTCCTTTTCTTTTTTTCAGGGATTCAGGCAGATAGGATCCCTAACATTTTGCATCAAAACTTTTTGTCTTTAGGAGAACGAATCCAGTTCGAGTCCATGGAAGGCCTCCTGAGGATCTTATCACCTAGTCGATTCGATGAGTACCGGTGATTGAGTTCGCTGGCGTGATGGAGTTGTTGGTAGGGACGATGATGCGGTTCCGACTCATGTGATAGCGGATGGAAGGAAGAAGGAGGTGAAGGATGAGGCTGTGAAAGCGAGTGCATATGAGATTGTGATTCTCTTCTCTCCCTGTCCAGCAAGGTTGGGCTGGAATGGCTTGATTCCATCATCTGAGAAGCTCCCGCCCGTGCTGTACCCCTTGATGGTATCCCAACGGGGCCAGCTCCAGTGCTTGCTCTCGCAAGATTTTGTGCGTGGAACGAATGCGGTATCGGAGGAGGACGATTGCTGGTATGGTACTTGTTCAGCTCAGGGTCTCTCCCGAAAGGCGTGGAACCCCACTCGTTCCGATCCTTGCTGCTCATAAGCTGTTGAAGCCATTGATTCTGGATACGAACTTCCTCCTCCAACTCCCGAACTCGGTTGAGTAGATTCTGGTTCTGCATGGCTATGTCACGGGTTTGATCTGCAACCTCGTTCCTTATCAAGGGCATGGCACTTCCTAGGATTTCATCCTTGAGGTGGGCTCGAAGAATGTCGAATAAGCCAGGAGGTAGAACAGCGAGGCCGTTGCGACCAACTTGAACCAAACCTCCACCTACCCCACTCGCGCAGTCCTCAGATTGTCCCTCTGTAGGATTCCCCTTCCTCCTTTGAGTCGCCCTATCGTTCGACGAGTGCCCCGATTCAATTTTGCCTTTCCTCTTTGTGCCTGATCCTGACCTCTTAAACCGATCTCTCTCCTCTTCCAAATTCTCGTCCCCAATTTGGTTCCCAGGCGAATTTTGGTGTGAACCCTGTGGAACGTCGTTCCGCGTCCGAGGCGACCCCGATCTTTCTTTTACATCCGTTGAAGAGGCGTGTCTGGCGCGAGATGTCGTCTCGGATCGCTCTTGTGAGCGTCGATACGAGGCCTCTGACGCCGATCCTTGCAATTTTGCCTTCTTCTCGGAGTCTTGGATCGCTTTGATGCTCTCTGGAGACAGCTGCTCGCCCGCTTCAATTATTCCCATGGCCCTCTGCTGAGCAGTACGTCCGTACCTCCCGTGATGAATCTGTTGTCATGACACAAAGGTAAAGAATTCCGTTCAAGTCAGACTTAGCTGGTGCAGCCTCGTATCGCTTTCCCGGGTCAAAAGTATCTCAAGCTCACTTTTCCGAATTCTGCCATCAGTGATCCCTTCGGCTTCGGCGTGGTGCCTCGCACGGAACACCAGGTTGACCAGTCCTCGTAAAGCGAGTTTACGCTCTTGACCATATCTTCCTTGCTAAGCGTCTTTGGGTTGTGCCTTTCTATCAAATCCAAAAACTTGTGGACTGAGCAAGGGTAGAATTTCATGGTGATTTTTCGCTCTATCAGTGATTCGAATTTCTCGCCTGTCGCTAGCGTCGCTGCGTTTCAAAGCTCACCTTCTTCCTCGTTCAGGTCGGCGGTAGATCCCGTGCTGGGAAGCGTGGAGTTGCTGCCTCTTGAGAGACGTCTTTGGTTTTGGTGATCTTCGGATGGATTTCTCATGCTTCTAGATGAAAGGATACCCACTGAAGAGGACAGGTTTGGATAATGTTGGAGACCCTTGCCAGTCTGACTCAGCTGGGAGGGCGAGAAGCTCAACAGTGACGACCTCGGCAGAGATGTGGCGTCAGCCCGATTGCTCAGGCGGTCAGTCGGCGTCCCGCCTCCAAAGGCGGGTGGTAGTATACGTGGCGGTTCCAGCTCATGTGAATTCATTGATGGCGTGTGGCTTGCGGGGCCGGCACCGCCATCATGTTGTTTGAAAGGTGGCGGAGGTAGTGGTGAGTGGGACCGATCGGTAACTAATTTGGCGGCGGGTTGACGGCGATCATTGCCGCTCCATAGATACATGCGCTCTTCTCCAAATTGATTCTGCCTGACCCTATCTGGGTGGCCTTTCAATGGCCTCGATTGAGTAGGATCGCTGGGGTGTAAGTCCAAAGACGCTTGAGGCGTTTCGGAGGCTCCCGAGTCGGCGGTCCGGCCCTCAAGACTGCTGTCATCACTCTGTTGCTCATGTGGACGCTGAGCAGCCACTTGAACTCGGCTTTTTTGACCAGGTGAGGTATGGTCTTGCGTTTGGCGGCCCTCCATTTGGCTCGGACGCGACGAATATGGCAACAGTCGACTCCCGCCCACCCAATGCCTTGAGTTTTTATTGTTTTCAAGACCGTCAGCCACCGACGGATGATTGGTATCGCTATCACTTTTTCCAGAACTCATTGATCGGGACCAGACTTTGGTCGGAACCTCTTCGAGTGCAGATGCTGAGGAATCGGTGCTGATCGCGTTGAGAGAGGTAAAGCTTGAACCAGGGTTGGTACCGGAAGCGAAAGCTCCCGAAGGACACTTGAGCTCGGTTGGGGAAGTAGAGTCCCTCTTACTTTTCATCGACTGAAATTTGAGAGGAGGTTCCTGTGAGGCTCTAAGGTTCCGTATTTGAGTGACCCCTTCAAGCAGCTTGATGCGAGGCAAATGAATCGGGAGTCGAGGAGAGGTCGGAGACTTCTTCTGCGAATCTGTGTCCCGAAATGAAGGCGGTTTTTGGACTCCTCGGATGTTTGAAGTGAAAGGTGATAGCTTTGGGGCTTCCGCCGAGACCGACATTTCTTTGATTCAACGTAGTTGCCTTCTCGACCGGGGATGAATCGGTGCGACCTCTTGGGAAAAAAAAAAAAAAAAAAAAAAGTAGAGTGGCCCGAGATGAGGTGAGGATGAAAGAAACGCTTGCCGATGTTTGCTCCAGCAAGGCAGAGGAGCCAAGCAGCACCTCGACGAGCCTTTGCCCAGTCTACGAATGCTACAAGCAGACCAAGCACGTTTGAAGCGTCAATGTGACCCCAGGAGAAAGTCTTTCTTTTGATTCAACGTGTGTATCTCTGCTTTATCCTCCTCATGAACTTGAGACCAAGCGGCCTCGCGTGGCTACGTGGATTGGTGTTCTATATTGGGGTCTGTGATGAAAGGCGCTGAACCAGAATCTGTCAACCTTTCAAGTTGTCCCTGCTCCCAAAGGGTAATGGTCGTGGCTCCTGTCAAGATCAAGGATTCCCCCAAAGATGAGGAGGAGGTGCTAAGGGTACTCTGACAAGTTGTGGTCTGTTTCAAGGAGAAGCTGGACACAGAATTCCAGCCAGAGGCAGGACAAGGCAAGGCAATTTTTTTCCCTTACCTGCCTTTCATTTATTTTTCTTTTCCTCCTCTTTTCTCTTTATCCCTCTATCCCTTGTCGATGGGCTGAGGAACCTTGAACGAAGGTTTCAAAACCTATCGCGAATGCTTAATCCTGGTCGAAGGAGAAGGCGCTAGAACTGAGACGTAGGGTGCTCTTCAAAAGGAGCGCATCGACAACCTGGCTCTTCAGCTTGTTGGCTGCACCATATGTTCGAGGCTCAAGATACTAGATCAAAGATGGGCTTGTTCTCCACTAGATCGCCTTCGTGCGACTGGGAGTTCAGCTAGACTGCGGCTCTGAAGTTCAATTCCCTCGCTGGATGACTTCTGCAAAGAATCTGGCAGAAAGACTGAAGGAATGGAGGATAGTTTCTGGGAGATCAAGAAGTAGCAACGAATGAATGAGGGCGAATTGGGTGTCCGAGTCTGTCGGATGGGAAACGGACTGTCGAGATGGATGAAATTCGTCTTTGCCCTTCAAGAGATTAAGCTAGGGAGCTGTTTCGAGATGAGGGGATTCCTACAAAGCCGATTGTCGATTCGAAACGAGGAGAGCAACCAGAGGAAAGGGGTATCTGGGCCTTCAGGCTAGTCTGCGATTGACTATCATGTGCCTGCGTTGTTTGGTGGGGCTTGAGGAAGTGAACGAGAGCAGAAGAGGGGAAAGGTGTGCTAGGAAGAAAAAATAAGAGGTGAGAGGAGAGGAATGAAGGAGAGAGGGGGAGAATGGGTGGATGGAGGGCGATGTACGATGGAGGATGGAGGATGGGGACCTTTTGGGGATCATAGGAAGAGCAACGAGTGGAAAATGGAGACGGAGGGGGGACGACGAAGCTTGGTTGTACAATTGCTCGCCTGGTACATCTTGACCGCGAAGATTTACTTGGTGTGGAATGCTTGAGGAGCTCTCCAATGCCATCAGTCGAACCGGAGATGGTTGAAGCTCTTCCTGGCTCACTTGACCACACTTCTCCGGTTCAGTTGACGACGCTTCGACTCGATTGCACATGTGGTAAGGTACGGTA